AGCAGGAATTCAGTTGTGCCCAAGCCCACTTCACTGCTTTCCTGTAATCAGTATCTCACTGCTGCCCAGCTCTTCTGGAGTTCATCCTTCCTCCTATCACCCTTTGTATCCATTAACTTCACTATTTCTATCACAATACCCACAAATCATCTGCTATTGGTTTGGCAAGGACCATGCCAGAACAGCTTTTCCAGTAAGTCTGCTCTTCAGTTCCTCTTTGTCCTGGTTTGAGAGTTACAGGCACTACAGAGACAAAGCCACGTGGCCCAGACAGACCGCTCTGCACGTCCCAGTCTCTGTATCCTCTCCAGGCTGCACACATGTCGTATTAAGCCTGGTGACAAGCAGACCTCAGCCTCACCTGCTTTCCACCTGCTGCTGCAGCTCCTGCACTTTCTTGCAGATGTCTCCAGCTGCTGCACAGGTCTTGCCCACCTTGGTGAAGAGCGCAGCCACCTTGTCGGTGCGCAGGAAGCCGGCAGTGCGGCGCTTCAGCATGTGCAGCAGACACAGCTCCACCACACCTGCAGGGACAGGGCAGACAGTCATGGGCACTGCTGGCCTTCAGGCTTCCCCTCAGGGGCCAGGCGTGGAGTCAGGAGAACAGAGAGGGATGGGAAAAGACAGACTGGATCTCAAAAGTCAGAGGAGGTGAGTACGTGTCTCACCTGCAGCAAGAACCACCTTGGAAGCTACAGAGAACATCAGAATGAACCAAAGGACTGAAATATCTCCCAGAATTTCACCCCGTTTTATGGATGCCACAATGTGAGAGAGTTCCTGGTTCTACTGACAACGAGGAAAGTGTAATGCTGCTACAGTCTGAGAGGGAACAGAGATGCAGCCAGACCTACAGCTACAGCAGAGCCAGCTGTGAGGTTCATTGTGCAAACCTTACTGTGATGTGTTCTGATGGCCACCAGGGAGAGACCACATTGCACTACTTGAGCCCTGTGAGACTGCATCAGAAATCTCACCAGCTCTCACTGAAACTGCTGCAGGAAGAAGAAACAAGATAAAGACAAATAAAAACCAATACAAGAAACCAGTTTTCCCTGTCTACCGGTTTTTAAATCAAGATTGCAGGTGACTCATCCAGTCAACACTGGCCATGAAAAGTTACAAAGGAGAAGAGGCCAATTTGTTCCCAGGGAGGGGAAACACCCACTGTTGCAGGCAACCCAGCCCCAGGGAGCTCAGCAGCCCAGTGATGCTCTCCTGTGGCCAGTGACAGCAGCCCTGCAGCAAACTGCACGCATTGCCACATGCCATGGTCCTCAGGAGCAACAACTGCTGCTGGGATGCATGTGCATCCCTCCCAGGAGCCAGCAGCTGATTTTGAAAGAAGGCAGCATCTTGTGCTTCAGGCCTGACACTGTCAGTGCTGAGCATTTCCTGGAGACTCCCCCTCCTTACTGTGCTTAATGGGCCCCAAATCCCAAACCACCAGGAAGTCTGCACCTGGAAAAGACCCCTCCTCACAGCTCATCCCGACAAGCCCCTGAGCCCTGCAGCCTGGCTGGCAAGCAGGACCAGCTCCTGGGGCCAGGGGGCTGAGGAGCTTCCACAGTTGGGGGGTCACAGTCCTGGCAAAACTGTCCCCTCCATCTCCAGCACTGCCACCCTAATTGCTTTGCAAGGCTGGAGGACAACCTGCTGAATGAACAAAAACATGAAGAGAAGCATTTACGAGGTATTAATAACTTCACATTTTGTTGTCTTATCACTCTGGAAAAAAAACCCACCTCTCACTGGCTTCCTGCTATCACACCCTTGGTACACAAAGGGAGTAATGAGTGCAGAAAGCACAGCCAGTGGCTCTTGGAGTGCAAGAAACAGCACTAGAACAACCAATTGGAAATGTGCTGTGGGACAACCAGGCTACTGCTCTGCTTTCAGCTGTGAGGGCTGGTATGTTTTTAAACTAAGTAACATCAGATAAAATCTGACAGAAGATAAAATGTCCATGGAAAGCCCTACTTTCCTATGACACAACCAGTGGAATTAAATACTGATGACTTGGGATCCCTGCAGGGGCAGCAGCAGGGCCAGCATGGGAAGGACAGAGTGATGACAGGAAAGCTGGGGAGGGGCTCTTCATCAAAGATAGTGATGGGACAAGAGGTGATGGTTTTGAACTGAGAGAGGGGAGATTGAGGTTAGATATTAGGAAGAAATTCTTCACTCTAAGGGTGGTGAGGAACTGGGATGGGTTGCCCAGGGAGGTTGTTGATGCCCCATCCCTGGAGGTTTTTAAGGCCAGGTTGGATGAGGTTTTGTGCAGCCTGGTCTAGTGGTTCCCTGCTCATGGCAGGGGGGTTGGAACTTGGTGGTCTTTGAGGTCCCTTCCAACCTTAATGATTCTATGATAGCATGAGGATGACTTTCACATCACAGCCATTGACCCTGTCTAGCAACCACCACAACAGCTCTTAACCCAGCTACTGCTTTGCTCAGTCTTTCCATTAGAAATAAAGAAAATTTAAAAAAACCCAAACCAACAAAAAACCTAAACAAACAAAAACCCAAACAAAACAGCTTTCCAATGCCTGAAGCACTGCAGAAATAATTGGCTCCAAATCTTAAATGAAACAACCTGCCTTTAAAAAGAACTGCAGAGAAGTACAGTGCTGTTGCTGAGGAAACAGGCTCTCTTCCCACCTCTACTGTTTCTTTTTTTCTTTCTTTAAAACAATAAAATATTAATGAAACAAATTTAGTGAAAAGCACAGCAGACACAGCTTTAATTATTAACAAATATTGCAGCTGCTATGGAGGGCAATTTCCACAGTGACTGTCCCTAAAGCCCCAATATTTAATTACTCCATTGTGACATTTCTTATCACAAGGACTTGGCATAACATCAGTCCCCAGCTGGCTGTAAGACACGTGTAGTGGTTATTTGCCAGGGGAGAGCCAGTGGAATCAGCTGCTGGGTTGCCTCAGGATGCACGTTCCACGGGAGGAGAGGCTAAAGCACCGTGCCCGAGTGAAGGTGCAAGGCACCCTCAGCCCTGGCTTCAGGGGACAGGCCCAGTCTGTGTGACCTTCAAGTCATCTCGTTCTCCTCTACTCCACCCACACCTTCAGGACAACAGACCTGTCTTCCATCTACTTTTCTCTCCAGGCTCCTCTCTAAGGGAAGTGCCTACATCCCCATCTGACCGGATCTGAATCAGCTCTCAGAGCGGCTTTCATCAGGTCCAGCTCTGAAGCATCTGAGGAGGGGAGCACATCCAACCACAGAGATGCCCCCCTATTCCAAGCCAGAGGACAGTGCAGACATCCCTTCCGTGGTGTGAAGCAGAGGAACACAGCTCAAGAGCTTCACAGCACGTTAGCTGAAGCTGAGGTTCCTGCAGAGCTTGCTGCTCCACGGGCAGGCCCTGATCTCACTGCACCTGCTCCACACCACACGCAGCCACTTCCTGCACATGCAGCCAAGCTCAGCCAACAAGGAAACTTTAACCCAAGCTCAACCAACTTTCAGAAGAATCACCTCAAGCTGCAGAATCTTTTAAAAGACACGAGAGGACCTTGACAGTGATGCTCAAATGGTTTTAGAAAGGAAACAAAAGGTATTTGAGGACCTCTCCTTAGCTCCAGCCACCTTTTCTATTTTTGTTTCTCTTCTGCTTTAAACAAACAAAACCATTATATTTCTGTTTTCTCAGTGTAGGATTGAAGCAGAAAAAATCACAATTTTACAGTGAAAAAAGCCAGCACTTACAAACTTACTCCTGAAAACCTCCACATCTCCCCAGGAAAGTCTCTCCTGCTCAGGGCAGGAGTCCCCACACACCCAGAGCTGTGCAGTGAGGCTGCTCACACTGTGCTCTGCTGATCTGCACGGGAGTTCACTCTGGCTTTGGGCAGCTCTTGGATTAAAACCAGTTCTCCATGGCAGGCTCTTGGCATTCATGTTGGAGCTTGTGGGAATAGATGAGAACAAGCTGAACTAATTTATCCTGAATATAATATACCCTCTTCCTATTGTTCTGCTGGATGGTTTCAGAAATTTTAATTTTAAAGGGTGTGCACAAACACTCCCCTTCCCCATTTCCACAGCACACCAACATGTTCTCAATCAGCTGAAATCAAAACAGATCATCAAAACAACCACACGCAGAGACACAGGCATAAAGCCCAAGCAGCACACAGGGTAGAGCTGGGGGATGGGAAAAAATAATCCTTACAGAGAACAATTTTGGGGGAAGAGGGCTGGAAGGTTTAGGTAAATCAGGTTTCTGCAAACCCACTTGTCTTTATTTTTGGGAAACCAAAAACAGGTGATCCCCCTGGAGCTGCAAACTGCAACACAGAGCTCAGATGGAGCCTAAAAAGATTAACACACAAAACAGTTCAGCAGTTACAAGAACCTCTGGGACAGGAAAATTAGTTACCTATTTTAAAGAAACTGAACCATTTTTCCCTTGTTGGAACCTGACACTCTCAGAAGGCACAAAAAGAGATTAAGATTTAGCTGTTCCTGGAGGAACTGGTACCATCAGAAAGACACCAACAGGCACCTTTCTGTGCAAGCAGGTGGTTTTTACCCCCAGACTCACACTCTGCTTTTAGGTGTGGAGGCACAGGCAGAAACACCCTCTGTGAGCTGCTGAGCAGAGCACAACCTCATCCTGCCTTGTCACTGACACAGCAACAAACACACAAAAACTGATGGCAGAAAAATGCAGATACTTATTAGGTTCAGGCTGGAAAAGCAGTTTGGAATAAATCAACCCAGCTCAGGTAATTCCCTTGTATTGCTCAGCTGACAGCAGCCATCTAAAAATTCATTAACTCCAGCCAGTTTTGAGGAACATCCCCTGCAGTATCCACTGCTGAATTTAATTAAGTGCAGATATGTTATTGATTTGCAGTCCAAATAATCATGGTCCCCAACAAGCTTTGAAAAATGTCATGCTTTTATGGCTTCAACCTGGCAACTTTTTGCAGTGTCAGGTGAACAACTCGAGTTTTCTCCTTTTTTGCCTTTATGAAAATCCTGACATGTCTTAATAGAGTGTGAAATCAGAGCTCCAAGGATGAGGCTCAAAGGGTGGAAAGCAAAGAAGGGATGTGAAGAGATTATTTATGGTGTTTATTTGGCAGATGAAGTTTTCCTTAGACAGGAAGAAACACCACAGCTAAATACCTTGTTTTCATGGAAACTGTGCAGAGGGAATAGAATTCATGAGGCTGAAGAGAACAGAACAAGTGGAAAGAGGAGGATGATAAAGAAACAATCAGATGCTCACAATCTCCAGCTGCTGTGGCTTTACCTGCCTCATCACAGATCTGACCAGCTTGAAACCAACTTGTTACCAAGTTCTAGCATGTTATTTCCTTGAGAAACACACAGGGAGCAGGTGGAACACCTGCTGCACCTGCACACCTGCCAGGCAGCAGATGACTGCAGAGGAGACACCCAAACATGCTCCTTTGTCCCAGGGGTGCTCAGAGCACTTTATGGGAGAGGGAGAAATTGAACAGCCAGTGTGTGCACAGGTCTCAGTCCCTAGCTGACATCCTGGCTTCAAATGCCAAGGGTCATGGACTCTCCAGATAAAGCTGCACTGACATATTTTTCAATAAATCCCAGGGAAAAAAAAAGGCATCTAAATGGACAATCCCAGTTCTAAACACAGCTTAGGTGGGAAACATCAGGGCTGGAAGTTGGTGACTGCTCCTCTTTAAAATCTTCACCATTAAAGCTTCAGGGATCTCAACACCCTTCAGAAAACTTAAGTGTTTCCACTTAAGTTTAAACACTACTAAGGCTAAGTAAAAATTACTGAGCTTTCTCTAAATAATTGAATATGATCCAATTTGATGGCCCAGGACTAAAGCAAAATGTTTGGCTGGGTGCTCTAAAAAGCATGAGAGATTCTATTTCACTTCTCACACTAAAACCATGAGCAGTTCAAAACCTGTTTGATTTCACAGCTAATATTCCCTCTTTTTCTCCCCCTCTCCTCCAGAACACGTCCCTCGTTACTTTAAAGCAGTCATCTTTGGAGCACAATCAAAAGCTTTTAAATATGTGTGAAAAAATATTTGCCTCCCCCCAGTTACAATCATCTCTGGTACTCTCTGAGCTAATGAGGTAGAACCTCCGCAAACTATTTTTTTTAAGCATTATTTGTTTTCCAGATAGGAGTAGTAACACAGGGAGGCTCATATTTTGTTTGAGACCTACATTTCCACAGCAGGTTAACTATGTTTTTTAAAAACATCAATGCCATGGGTAGAAAGACAAAAGAATTAAAATATTAAAATGTCTGGTAGGACAACAGCTGTTCACATCTATTTCTACATAAGTTACATTTCTTTGAGCTACAAAAGTAGAATGGAAAACAAATTCTTAATTTTTGTCAGGCCCTAGGAGCACTGTGCTGTCTAAAGCCTCAAGGAAATCACCTAAAAGCTCCACAGCCCAAAGCTTCTCTTCCTCATGGGGTTGATTTTCAGAACGGCTGGAACTCTAGTTGGAACTGAAGGGAACAGCCTGTTGTCTGGACAGTTAGGACACCCCAAATCTGAGGTCCAGACTAACCCCAAATCAACCTCCTGTTCCTTTCACTGAGCACCTCTTGACATTTTGTTGCCCCACTTTAAATAGGAGGCAGAGAAAGGGCTTCTATCAGGAACTTAATTCTCGCCTTAAACAGTTTCCCACGTTGCCACCTTCTATGATTTTACTGCAAGTCTGTGGATATTTGATACTCTTCTGAAAGTTTTACCACCATGAACCATGGCACTGGGTAAGAATGTCTGGATAAGAAATGAATTAAAGAAATACATTTCTATTCCTCAACTGATTTCATTTAACTGTCATGAACTTTAATCCGCTCTTGTAATTTAGGGCCACAAAGGAAAAGATTACTGACTCATGACTTTTCATTGCTTGGGACTGGCAATCATGACGTGTGGTGACTCTGATAATTGCTTGGATTTCAGGTCCTGGACGAGAAAAACCAGAACACAAGCTCCAGCATCATGCAGTCATTGGTTCCTAATTAGATCTTCTCTTTGAAACACAATTAACTTTGTGCAAAATGGGATAACAAGCCATCATAAGACCAATAAAGAACACAGCCCCACAACTAACCACATCGTTGTGGTTAACCCTGGTGCATGTTAGCAGCTTAGATTCCTAACCAGCACTACCAGGCACTCCTGCAGCTCAGACACGCTCTCCATGCAGGAGATACCCAGAGATCTGGTCTGGAGGAGTCACCAGTCATATCCACATGCACAGGTTTCCGGGTCCTCCACTGCCAGCTTTGACTGAGACTCATCCATGGCAGCAGCTGGAACTATTCCATTGTGTTTCTCTGAACATCTGCAGACTATGGAACTTCAGCACTTGACTGAGCTCAGACTAAGCATGTGGCTCCAGAAAATCCAGCCAGACAATTGCTTTCCTATTGTCTACTATCTCCAACATGAATGGAGCACTCATCTGCTTGAGAAAGCTGTGAGGACATCTCATCAAAGCAGGGAAATAACTGTTGAATTGTTTGACAGAAGGTGAGTGTTTTGCATATGAATTGCGATGACGTTACAGACTGAGCTGGCTCTAAAATGTCAGCAGGACCCCAGGAGCATCCTGGGCTCAGAATCTGCCCATCCTTTCACTGCAAACAGGTATCGACCAATACAGCTATTCCAACTAACACTCCCACTGCCTGTTTTACAAGAAGGAAGCATCTTACACCAAAATTATCCCAGCCTTGGTGCCCCAGGACTACACGAAAGGAAACTGCAATGAATGGACACCAGGTCAGGTCTCCTCTCAAGTGCAGAATCAAGGCACAGCTGCCTCAAAAGCTCTGGTGTGTGACACTTTTCCTCCACTTTGCACTGGTCGCTAGTGAACACACATTAGGGAACTGCAGGGAGATGGTAGAAAAGCTTCCTTTTTCTTCCCCCTTTCCATCAGAACTGGAAGAGCTGGGAAGAGCCCAAGGAAGCTGGTGGCAGGATGCAGAGGGGGATGCAGGGATCTCCCTGCCTGCAGAGGTGGCAGGTCCCTAAGTCAGGGGCTGTCAGCTGCTGTTGCTGGGGAAACAGCACCAGATAATGCAGCTGGAAACAGCCACAGCCCCTTCCTAACAAGAATGCCAGTCCACTGAGGATGCCTCGAACACCCCCGGAGCTGGTGTCATTAGTGAGGTTCCAGCTGGCAGCACAACTCTGCTGAAATGCTCTCTGCAGCAGCCTGCAGCAACCTGCAGCCTGAGAAGCTGGGAATGTGTCCCCCAGCCTGGCACACAGCAGCCACACTGCACACAGCCCAACCCGACCTGCTATGGCTCTGAATGACAGAGCTGGATCCTTTATAAACTAGACAGGATGGAAGAGTAACTGGAATGTAACCAGGTTATAAACTGGGTTGAGAACAAATCAAAAAACATCTGCATCCATTGCTCTCCCACGAAGATGGAATTGTCAGCACTGTTTTCCTGCTCAGATCACACAGGTGAAGACCACGGATTGCAGGCAGAGCCCCTGTGGTTACAGCAAACCTCTCCCATGGGATGAGAAGGGACTGGCACAGACATTCCCCTCCAGGGGCCAGCAAGGGGACAGGCAGCTGGCCCAGGCCCACAGAATGGCACCTTCAGCCATGCAGGGCTTGGAGTGCCAGGAAGATTTCAGTTACTGATGCAGATGAGCCCTGAAAATCAACTACCATGTATTTAAGAGACTCTTGCTAAACTCAGACTTGCAGAAGCATCAAATGATTCACAAGAATTCTATATTTATAACAAAGATTCACTGAAAATGACTCATGTACTGAGCCAATCTAATTTTAAATGGAAGGGAAAAACCTCTCAAAGAGCACATGAAACTGGAGTGGGGGAGAGGAACAGCACAGACAGGAGAGCCCCAGCCAGAGCTGCTGGCCAAACCTGCTGGAAATGGTTTCTCCATTCAATCAGCTGAGGTGAGAGCAGAACATGCAGCTTCACTCACTTCTGGCTTAGCATTAATTAAGTTCTACAACCAGAGCAGCTGCAGGTTGGAATATTGCCTTAGGACAGGTAGGATTGCTGAGGAATAATAAGGCAGGTCATGGAGAGTTATTAGTTCTTCAGACCCTACAGGATTCAGAACACAAAGCCAACTGGAATCACAGCAGGAGGGAGAAATATTTATAGGATTTTACAGTATTACTAATTTTGGCCAAGCAGAGTCTCTCAGGAATAGCTGTGGCCCCACTACCCCTCACATCATCAAGGCTGCAGCACATCTCACCAAACATCATTCAAAGGCAGAGAACAGACACAGCACCACAAGCCCTCCAGATCCACGAGGCAGCCCACAGCAGGGGCATGGGCTCAGCTTCCTTCACCTGCTCCTATCTCTGGACCATTTTCCTCAGCTACTTTTTCTCTTTGGCATAGTGCAAATAGACAGCAGATAAAAGGGGAATATTTAACACAACCACAACCTAAATGGAGGAAATGGCCACAGTCTGTATTAACAGCAACAAAATACTAGCCACAGAACATGCACAGATCTCCCACTGCATACATAGGGATGAATAAATTATCCCAAGCTATAAGGAAAAGATAACCTGGAAGCAGCAAGCAGGTCAGGGTCAGCTCAGCCCTGACCACCCAGCCCATCACCACCCCACACCCCAGAGCGAGGTGGGATTTCAGTGCTGGGACAGGAAAAGGTTCCTGCTCTTAGGAAGATGTCAGTTCTTGTTTCTCTAGACAGGCCTCTTGTCTACCTTCCACTCTTGTCAACCTCTCCATGTGACCAACACACACTGGGTACACGTGGCTGAAAATGCTCCTGTGTGTGACATCCAGCAGTGCTGATGATGGCTGCTTCTCATCCTCAGCATCACTCTCAGTTCAGAGTTGCTTCCTTATTTGTAATGTAATCATGGAGGTAGCAAATGTAAAGAGAAGGTGACAGGGGTCTCTACTCCATGATTTATCGTATTTAAATCCCTCCATTTACCAACACATCTCTCCAGGACAGGTAAGAGCAGGCAGTGCTGGGTCTCTGTGTGCCACTTACCGCACAGGGCGATGATGTGACTGCTGTCCTCATGTACAAACTTCCGTGTGACAGCTTCTTCCATGATCTGCTTTACCTGAAATAAAGAAACAATAAGAATTGATTGTAAGTTACCAATGCAAACCAGCACAGCACTTGGGAGTTTCCCTCTCAACCTTCTCTTGCCCTTTCCCCATCACCAAAGGACTAACAGCCCATGTGAGTTTTTCTCTGCAGGGGAGGACAGAGAAAATCCCTCAATCCAAGAATCCCTGAGCCACACAGGTGCATGTTCCCAGAGGTGTGCAGCAACCTCCCCTGTCTGGGGGCTTCACATACCACAGTGATTGCAAATGATGTTTTCAAAGTTCTGCTGCACCAGGCACTCTACAAAATAATGCAGAGAGTGGCTCCAGGTTTTGCTTCAAGACACAATTTAACAATTGCAGCAAATACAATTATATTTATCACACTTCTGACTGATCTAAAGTTCCCTTCCAGCTTCAAAGCTGATACGTCAAGCTCCAGAGGGGATTCACTGCAGATTACTGACTTTCCAGAATCAGCAAAGAAAACAGACAAATCTTAGAATTAGGCTCTTGAAAAGAGGCTGTCGTTGCCCTTCATTCATCAGCTTATTCCTCCCCAATGGCCTCCTCAGCCTGATTCTAGATGAAGCCTATTTGTCTCAGCCACTTCATTTATCAGACACTCATTCCTTCCTGTCCACGGAGCACTTGCTTTTCCAGATACAAATCCAGAATAATTTTTTGCTTCTTTCATTCGTGAGCTATAATTACGGGGCTAGGACACTGCCTAAATAAATGCCACATCACTTTGAATATATGAAAGTCTATGCTACTGTGGCAGATCTAACAAGATACTCTCCTTGTCCAACATTTTAGGTTGTTCTTTTTAATTGAAAATAGTATTTACAGCAGTCCTGGAATCCACCAAACCGTGAGTTATCTGGCAGGTAATCACTGTGTGGCTTCTCTTTACCAACAAGCTCACAGCATGACCTGAGGTGCTGGTGCAAACTGCTCGGTGATGGGCAGCAGACCCAGGAGACCCTGATCCATGCTCCTCAGCAGGGCTGGCAACTGTGCACTCAGCTCTCATTAGGCTGCATCTGGTACCTGAGATAACCTGGTTAAAGCTAGCTCGGTTACCACTTCTTTCTTGCCTTGACAGGTCCAAAGGTCTCAAGCTCCCCACCCAGCACTGGAGCCACCAGAAGCTGCTCATGACCAGCTGGGCCCCATGCTGTGACCATGAGGGGCCAGCTCAGTGCCTGCTCTACCCTGAAGGGCTCCCTCCTCCAGTGAGATCAGTTGTGAAGCCAATTCTGGATGCTGTGATCAAGCTTGCTGCCCCCAGCTAACGATGGGGAGGCCTCCATGCCCACTCCTCCACCCCCAGCCCAGCTGGCAGCAGCTCCACCTGCACCACCCTTCCCACACCGGCTGTTCTCTTGCCCCAAATTCTGCACTGAGTGGATCCTACAGAATATGCACTTCTCAAACAGGAGCGCTCTGGGGGGTTGCAAAGAAAATGCTGAGGGGGAAGCAAGCATTTAAGAGGCTTTGAAAGTAGAGCATGTTTTGGATCTGAGGACTTCAAAGCAAGTCTCTTGCACTTTGTAAAACCTGCCTCACTGGTCACATCCTGAGGCTTGATAATATCAAATCAATTTGTTGATAATATCAAATCAATTTGTTTCTTTCCTGTGGCATTTCTGACATGGCTGTAAGAATTTGGACCTTACAGTAAAGCAGTGGGAGGTGGAAAAGCATAAGAGGATATTAAAGAAAGAAGCAAAGGTGTGAGAAGATCTCATGGATGGCATTTCACACAGGAAGCACCAGGGATTATTCTGTTTATTCAGCACTCCTCACATCTTTATTTGTGTCATTGTTGATTTACAAACTTGTTGTCTGTTTGTCTTGGCAGGAACCCAAAAACCTTTGTTCCAAACCTCACCTAAAAGTTTGAAACCATCTGGGTAATAGCACCCAGGCTGTCCACAGCTCAGCATAGGGAAGGGCACAGGACAGCTGAGCAGGTCTGCCTGTTAAAATTCCAGCTTAACCCCTGACCTGCACATTCCCACGTAGGAGGCAGCACATTCCAGCAAACACAGCCTGGAGTGGAAGTAGAGCTGGTACCATCCACTGCTCCCAGCCAGCCCATCTGTGAAAGAGGGACAGTGGCCCAACCTTTGCAAGCTGTTCTGATTACACTGGATGAAAACTGTATTTAATTTACCAAATGAAAGGCCTGATTTATTAAAGGGAGAAAGTACCTCTGAGTGCCTTTAGCATGAAGGGGGACAGAAGAGGAAGCACCAGAGGGCTGCGCCAGGGTCACCCATGGACACAACCCAAGAACACAGACACAACTTCAGGCACCACTCAGGACAGCAGACTGATTCTGATCTCAGCTCCCCAGAGAACAGGAACTGGAATTCAATTCCTGATGACAGGGAGGGAGAGTTGTTTACCAGGAGCAAGAGCTCTGGAGCTCAGAGGCCAGTTCTCCACTGTGACACATTTCCCAGGCATATCCCAATCATTAGTCTTTATGAGCTCAGTATATTATTTAAATCCCGGTCTGTAGCCCAGGAACAAGAAAAAAGTGTACTAAAAATCATAAATAAAAAGGTTTCAGATGCTATGATCAACCCCACTTTCATACAGCAGCACATCTGGTCAGCCTATCAGCAGAGCTGGAATCCAGGACCTCCAGAGTTAAGCAGGACAGACCAGGAGAGCAATTGGTGCCCATTCCCACCTGCTATCCACACAGAGCAATCTTTGCACATTTTCTGGAGATTCAGAAAGTGTTATTAGAAAACATTTTCAGGGCTCAGACAGTAGATGTGAAGATGCAAAAGCTGGAATGCAGTGTTCTTCCATCCCACGTCATTCCTCACTGCCACGTAACTCAGGGATGCTCCAGGCAAGGAGCTAAATCAAACGTTTCTGATCAAATGGAACACAAGCCTTTTTTATTATTTTTTTTTCCCCTTACAGTTTTGTGCAGCTCTCTTTGTAAGGAATGATGCTGTTGTGTCTCTGTTCTGTCAATGAAACCTTCTGAGCACAAGCCTACACAGACACCCACTTGCAGATACCAACGGACCTGACCAAACTGCAAATTAATGTCATTAGAAGCAGCACTGACAGCAGCCCCTGCTCTCACACCCCCTCCTGCACAGATGAAGAAGTGGCAGAGGTTGGGCTGCAGTGTGAACAGGGAAGCACCAGCCCCTCTGCAAATCATCACAGCATCTCCTCATCCTGGCCAGGATGCTCACACCTGCCAGGTGGCACAAGCACAGAGAAAAGCAGCACGTGTGTCAACTTGTGTGTGTTTCAGGCTGTCCAGCCCTGAGACAGCAGTGACCCTGCCCCAGGGGAAGCTGCAGGGCTCAGAGACAGGCTCACAACACCTTCTGCCCCCCTGGGGAAGGGAACAGGCTCCCTGTGCACCCAGCTTACCAACCATGGGACAGCAAGGATGGGAAAGCCCTGCCTGCCCCAGTGAAGATCCTGGCACTGCAGGAGTGAAGAATATCCTGGTGGCAGCACCACCCAGAAAAGCAAAGCAAGCTCCTCGAATTAAAGGTTATGTGCATTTGCATGACATTATAATGGATCACTGCTCTGTCTGGCACCATTGGAGGGAAAGAACCAGGCTCCAACATCACTGGGACAACCAGGACCACAGTTAAACCCACAGCACGTTTTTCTCAGAGGAGAAAACCTCATGTGCAGCCTCCCTGCCTTCTTTAGCTCATGTAGTCACTGTCCATCTTAGGCACTGATGGCTCCTGCTGCCCTGACTCCTCAGTACTCTCAATGGAGACCTGGGTGGTGCAAACACAAGCTGCTCAATAAATCCTTTATTTCTGCTCAGAAGTGGTTGCATTTCAGTGGCAAGATGAGCAATTGTGTTTCAAAGGGCCCTGAAATTTTTCAGGGTGAAACTGCCAAGATTGTTATTATCCTGTTTGTTTCACGGCTAGAAAGAGTGCTGTGTTTAAATGCAGAAATGGCAAAATGCCTCCATTTCAGTAGGTAGAGGAAAATAGCCAGAGAAAAGCCTGGTTTATGAGTCTACTTGTCAGAACAGATTTTCCTGCAGAGAGAGATAAATGTTTGAAATGTGAACTTATAAGCAGCCTCAGCATGAATCCCAGTAGAGTTGAATTTTCAAAACACATTACATGTCTTCCTCTCCATCTGAGCCAATAAAATACATTCTTTACCAGTGGGAATTGAAAGTCCATCTGAGAAAAAGCAAACAACACTAAGTTTTCCCAAAGGAAAAATGCAAAAGTTTTTGCTGAGAGACAAAATACAATAAAAAAACACTTAGCACCAAGAGACTTTGGAGACAACCATTTTCTGTTTTGCAAAGACAACTGAATTTTAACAGGCTGGGTGCAAACAAAACACAAAGAATGTGTTTACTCTGAAGTCCATTAGATGTTGAGGTTACATGGAAACAAGTGAACAGGAGGAAGAGCCTGGGGTTTAAGGGACAAGAGAAGAGAATGAAGGCTTTGAGAATGGACACAGACCAGGCAAGTCTTTACCACCACACCAGCTGCACTGAGGGATAAGTGACTGTGAAAAGTCACACAGAACAACAAATGAGGCTGAAAATTATATCAGAAAAAGTAAATTACTGGCCTTTCAGGCAGCAGAATCTAGTTGCTGGTAAACCTAGGGTCTGCATTCAATTCCTGGTCCATTAACTGATTGTTTGTGAGGAAAATAAAACTCAGTACCAGTTTCTCTGCCTGCCTCCCAATGCCATTTGTGCCCCAGCAGAGAGGGTCCCCACCACACATCTGTGCTGTGCACAGGCAGGAGGTGCCACCTCCATGTCCTGCAGCCACCAAAAAGGTCTTCTGACTCTTTGAGGAGGGAAAGATCTGGGCAACCTCCAGAAAGCCAAGCCAATACACATCCTCCAAAGGAGCATTTGTGAAGATTTGGAGAAGGGAAAAAAAATAATAAATCAAAGACAAAACAAAAATGCAGATGACACAGAAGGTTAAAATAACACTTTCAAGCACTATTGCAGTAATTTAAAAACTAGAGTCCAATTAAAAACATTTTAGAGACTTTAAAAACAAATTAGCCTCAGATTTTTAAATTATATACCACTTGTTCATTGCTCAAGCTGGCTTGGATCATGAAAATCCATTTCCCTTTCAATCTTGCACATTAGGGCAGGATAGCAATGTTCAGAGGTGGAAAACATCTCTCAGATTTATGTACCTAAACATTAACCCAGGAGAACAAGCACACACACTTCCAAGCCTGAAGGTCTCATCTTAAGATAAAATCTCTGAATGCAGTGGTAGGTCCATGGCTGCCCTGAGCCCCAGCACCGGGCAGTGAGCAGCAGCAGGTACCACCTGCTGGGCCTGCAGGGCACTCCAGGACAGCCTCTGCAGTTCTGCCCACAGACTGTTCTTGCTGTGTCCATCCCTGCTCGGCCACGTCCAGTCACCCTGCTCTGACTGGGAGAGCCGACACTGGATGGTCTCAACACTAACAGACATCAGGACAGCAGATCCAGGCTCAGGAACCCTGGCCATAGCAGCAGCTGTTCACTGGAGCTTTAACGAACCTGGCTGTCCCATCACTGCTCATTTCCTCAGCTGTGGATGCAGGGAGGGGAAGGGACAGGAGGATCCTTATGCTTTTCAAAAAGACCTTTTACTGCTGTGGTGGGTAAGCACTAAATCTTCACTTAACTCCTGCATAAGAAGGGGCAGCCACACGGCAGGTACACACCTGGTGCACAAACACACCAGGGGACAGGCAGCAGCTCCCTGCCCTGGCAGTCCCACCTGGAGCTCACAGACCGGGGCAGCACGTCCCAGAGCAGGGACAGCAGGAAGGTGCTGCTGGAGCAGGTCTGAGCACCAGGCTGGCCCTGCAGAAAGCACAACTCTGTCCTGCCGAGCACCCTTCTCTGCAAGACAGAAGCACCAGCCCAGCACATCCCACCAGGCACCCAGTGGGTGCTGGGCACCTCATCCACCGACACCTCCAAGCCTGCCCAGCGTGTCACTGTCACTGTCACACCGCTCGGAACCACCCAAACCACCCAGCCCTGCTCCTCCTTCCCCAGCACCCACAGCCCAGGGTGACCA